TTGTTTGAGGTATCCCATTTAAATTAACACCAGAGACAGTACATATCATTACCATCTGCAGAATACAAAAAAATGTACTTATTGTTTTTTTCACGTTGAGGAATAAATTAACTCATGGAGGAAGATTTTTAAAATTGTTCAAGTTCAGCACGTCATAAAAATTTTTTTTTTTTTTTTTCTTATTTTACGTTTCTGGGACGTGTTTCTTTTAGCCTGTACTCATTTTGGTAGGAGAAACTTGTTTCGTAGTTCTGAGCCTCCAAATATGGAAGAATACAACACTTCTGGCGGGTTCTTGATAGTTTTTTTTTTCTCCAGCTTTTCATATTTGCATTTATTGCTATGTTTATTTATTTATCATTTTTTTCCAATGGCACAGTTATTTAGGTCGAAAAGACATAGCTTTGAACTTCCGAATCACCAAGCAAGTGACGAGTAATGCCTTCTAACAACGAGTTTCTAACAATGACCATCTACGCGATCTTTTATGCAGTGAAGAGCGACAGTAGCTATACATATGCATAAATAATTTCAAATTAAAATAAGCTCGACCATACCCTCTTTTCCCGTATTTCCTCTTCTCCCCCCCCCCCCCCCCCCCCTCCTCTTCCCCCCGCTTTTCCTCTTGCGACGCCACTGGTATGGTAGAACTATGGTGGCTAGTAGAACGCTCCTCGACCTCAAGTTGTGTCGGCTTCTGTCCTTCTTGTTCGGCGTTTCTTCCGTCCCGGAAAATAAACCTCCAAAGCAATTACGAACTAAAAAAATGTCAAGGTGCAGGCGAGCTGGTGTATGTTAATCATGATGTAAGATCCTGAGATTGGAAATGAATTTCGAAAGAAATAGTGTAAGAAGACAGAAAAAGGGGACAGGACAACGTCTCAAACTCAGCTGGGTTGAGTTTGAGGCGTTGACCTGAACTGAGTTTTCAGCTGAATTGAGTTTGAGACGTTGTCCTGAGCTGAGCTTGAGACGTTGTCCTGTCCCCTTTTTTCTGTTTTCTTAGACTTTTTCTTTCAAATTTCATTCCCAGAGCTGAGTTTGAGGCGTTAGTCCTGTCCCCTTTTTACTGTCTTCTTACACTTTTTCTTTCAAATTTCATTCCCGGTCTCAGGATTTTGCATCATGTACAAACTGAACTTACTATATGCCAGCGTCACTCGGGCGGCGTTCGAGCGGATTACTGCCAGAGTGCAAGGGGGTAGGGAGGCAGTTTGCCAGATCGCTTCAAGATTTTTCTGAGCCTCAACCACCTGCTTGCTCCTGACCGTTTCGAACTGGATGAGTCTCGTAAAACAGTGTGTTCGTGTGATCACTATTTCGTGATGCACGTTAATGACCCACCCCGGGCTGGCAGTCACAATTACTGATCTATGGTCACACGTCACTCTGCACTGGTGAAATATCCCAACACATCCGGGACACTCGTCGTCTCATTTAATTGCCTGAACAATTTCGCGCAGTCTAAATATCACACCTGAACTTTTCTAAACCTGATTTCGCGAAAACCAGTGAGACGCGAAAACGTTATTTGAAACTGGGCGGAACATGAAAACTGGACTTCGAACTTTGCGCACTTGGACTTAAAAGAAATTCAAAACCTTCGAAGTTTTTTTTTTTTTTTTTTTTTTTTTTTAAATTTAGCTTTAAAAAAGAATCGAAACCTTCGACCTTTTTGGAACTTTATGTAGAAAGAAATCGAAACCTTCGAATTTATCGAACTTTGTCGATAAGAATTCGAAACGTTTGATTTTTCGAATTTCAGATTTAAAGGAATTTGAAACATTCGAATCTCTCGATTTTGAAGTAAGACAAATTCGAAATCTTCGAATTTCTCGAACCTCAAGTAAAAAGAAAAAATATTTGAAATAATCGAACCCGAACTCCTAGAAACCGTGAAAGCTTCGACCTTTTTGAATTCGAAACTCGACGGTTTTTGAAAGTTGCGAATTTTTTCGATTTCGAACCTCTGTACGGTCGAAAATATCGATTCTTTCGAATTCGAACCTCAGTTCGGTTCGAAAATATCGAAACCTTTCGATTTCGACCCTAGGGTGGTTCGCGGCATCCCTAGTTTCCTCCAGCTCCTCGGGGCGGCTATAACCTTCGACATGTGTGTGCGTACCTTTCGTCACGATGTCCACCGATCAAGAAAATAAATGGATTCGTACCTCTGTTCAAAATTCTGTGTTGCGTCTGCGTCGTGTGCTAAACAGCTTCGCTGGTCATCAACCTTCACAGAGTGGAATGACTCATGATTTTTACTGGCAGATTTAGCGGTCCCACGCAAACGAACTGCGTGGACGTGATTGTCGACGGGGTCACAAAGCGGGCGACAATTCCACAAGTATATTTTGACCATCACTGTTGGTTCAAGAAAGAGTACCACGAGATAGGTGCCATCGAAACGAATGCTTTCCACGAAGTTCATAACTTTCGGGTGCCCCTTGCCAACGCAGCAATCAACGCTAATCGCGGCGATGGTAAGAAGCTCGTCGTCTTCGCTGCAGCGGGAGGCTGCGCTCCGTTGACTGAAGACGTGCGGTGCGCACCAGTGCACTTGATCGAAGACGAAGGGGCGCACCCCGGCGCTCCGGTGCGCACCAGTGCGGAACTGCACTGGCGCGGATCGCGCGGGAACTTCAAACTGGGCTTTGAGACATTGTTTTTTTTACTTCACAAATACCGAGTTCCAAAGTTTCAAATTTTTAGGGTAATGTCCAGGCAGAGTTTTCGATCGTTTCAGATAATAATAAAAAAAAAAAAGTTTTTGACCTGTCAGTGCCCCTTTAAATTTGAGTTTGAACGTACTGTATGCATCGGGTTGTTTCAATGTACGCTATGGATTTCGTTAGTGTGGTTTCTTTCGTGTGGTAGTTCCCTCACGTTTTGCATTTCTAATTTTGTTATCATTGTATAAGTTTCTATGTTTTTGTTATCATTGTAGAAGTTCTCGCGCGCGCCTCATGGCATCAGTAATGTTGTTTATGCGAGGTATCGCTACAAAATGTATGAAAGTCTGCTTTTCCTTTTTTTTTGTTTGTTTTTGTTGTGTTTTACCGCGTTGGTACGGCGGAAGCGACGGACGAGGAAGTCACACAATTCCTCGTCTTTCAGTTATGACCCTGCCGCCTGAAGGGTGCTCCTTGAACACCCTTCAACCGAGGTCTCACTGCAAATACATCATACAAAAGACACATAGGCTAGGTGGCGCAAGCTACTGCCCTTTACAAAGGGTATACCCATTAATATCCATTCATCCACCCAGCCTGCAGACACCGTCTGAAGCTTTTTATTTTTCTTCCTTGTACGACGGTTCTGCCACATTGCTTATAAGAAAACTGCCTTTAGACTAGATCGAAGCACACGCACATACCGCATTTCCCGGGCTGTAGTCCGCGGACTATAGATGTTCAAAAGTTGAAAAATTAGGCTGTGCGGACTAACTCTGTACGCGTGCGCGGACTATACAGACATTTTGTTTTTCAACATGGTTCATTAGGACGAGACGTGACGAATTTTATGAATGAAGGAGTATGTTTAAACGATGATTTATATCATAATACGAGCTTCTTTGTGAGCTAAGAAAGCATACATTTGTCAGGGTGTGCCGTCTATGAGAAGATTACCGTGTCGACTATGCACCATGGTGCGGACTATGCACGGCGTCGGGACTATATGCACCGGGTGCGGACTACCTGAGCAAATGATTTTATTTTTGACCCCAAATTTGCCCTTGCGGGCTATATCCCAGAAAATACGATATATACGAAGGCTCGAAGCGAACATTCTTCGAACATGGTTCAGGCGTGTCCGCATGATAATCCTGTCATAACGTTTGTAGCCATAGTCTTTTGTATGCTGTCTGTATACGAGCAGTTTGACCGCGGCTCTACAATGTTAGCCCTGGAACAACCCGAAAAAAGCATAATTGAGGGTCTAAAAGGTTTTTACTGTTGTGAGTTTATGCAAACATATATTAATTTGCTCTCGAAGCTATGGGTCGACTGAAGATCACATAACGACTCCCCCCTGCTCCTGTCCATCCTTACGATGAGGTAGCGACGTTTGCCAACCACACAGCAAGGTGATCAGTGCATAAACTGACGGCGGCGTCGCTCACGACGAGGCAGGGAACTACGTGTGGCGAAATATCATGACATGAGGACTCTACATTCTGATGCAACAGCTCGATAGGGCTACACCTCATCGGGGGGAAAGCTGACCGAAACATGGCGATTCGCTGTCCCATAATGTTGTGCAAATTGAAACTGACGAAAAGCCCACCGTTGGGGATGCGCCTTTGCGAAAGGGGTCTCGCGCTAAATGCTCATGCATTTCATCCAGAATCAGCGTAGCGACAGCAGCGATTTCGGCATTATATATATTTTTTTTTGTATTTCTGACTCGGCACTCGACTGACGTAGCAGGGCGTATCGTCAGCGTTGAGTAGGGCTCGTGTTCGATTATATGAAGCAACATTTACATATTAGTCCCAGACGTACTGTGACGCGCAGCACTCCTGTCCGATCTGATGTCCGAGGAAGATGGCGCAAATAATCCAGTCTACAGGCCTTGTATCGGGTAAACACGGAGCTCGGTGTAAAACAAGTTGGACAAAGCGCTCCATATATATATCTAGCATAACACCCTCGCCAATACAGCCAGTTCCCAGCATTTCCTTCTGCGCCGCAAAAGGCGCTGCGCACCGTTTCCAAGTGGTCTATTGTTCGAACCCGTGGTCCAAACTCGAAGAGGTAAAGATGGTCAGCGGGTGGCGCCCCACGCAAGATCGTGCGCGAGTCAAAGGCTCTGAAGACTCCAGAAATCACCAGAAGAGACTCGAAACTCCGTAAAACTATGAAGACTCCACAAGACTCTAAAGACACCGTAAATCTATGAAGACTTCACAAGACTCTGAAGACTCCATAAAACTTTGAAGACTCCACAAGACTCTGAAGACTCCAGGAGACCCCGATGATTGCACCAGACTCACGTACTCCTGACGAAGACGGTGGTGCTGGTCTGCGCGTGCTGTCCGCACTCCCGGTGTGACGCCCTGCACGAGTAGACGGCCTCGTCGTCGTCGCCCATGTCGCTCAGCTCCAGCTGCGCCAGGGGCAGGCTCTCCGGCGGGGGACCGTGCAGCAGGCGCACCCTGCCGCCCCCTTCCAGGGGCTCGCCGTTCTTCCACCAGGAGATGCGGGGCCGGGGCACCGCCGAGGCGTCGCAGCGCAGCCGCAGCGTGCTGCCCTGCCGGACCACGGCCCTGGGGCTCAGCGGCCGCAGGTCAATGGGCGCTGCGTGGACCAGACACTGATCAGATGGACAGTCATCTATCCCCTCCCCCGCCTTTAAATGTATATATATACATATATGAGCCGCAACGGTTCTGCTCTTGGGACACGAAGCCCAACCAAAATGCAGCGAATGCTAAGCACCAATGCTGCGCGCCGGCAGCACTACATCCTTGGGGAAACAGGACACACATCTTGCGGGATTGCAGTCAACAGACACACTAAAGTCGTGATTCCATTGCGAATACATCATACACTCATACAGTCTGCGCAAACTGTCTGAAGAGTGTTTCTTGTTTGTATATATTGTTAAAATTTCTGCTTTCCTTTTTAACTGGTTTAATCACCGCACAGAGAGGTCCGACATCTTCGGTGGCTGGCTTCCAACTGCCTCGCGCACACGCACGAGCACGACGAGCGTTCCCTTCGTCGCGTGCCGGTTGCTTCTCTTTTATGTTTTTTGTTCACCCCGCACTCAGCGTCTCCGCTACACTATCCCCCTCCCGTCCTTTGAAGACCGAGCAAGTCCTACAGAAGTCCCTGATACAAACACAGCCGGTCGCGGTGGACCACGAGGGCCCGTGATCTATCTTTGCGACGTATGCGATAGGCCACATCACTGAGACGTTTGATGACGATGAAAGGTCCTTGCCAGTTACGCTGCAGTTTCGGAGACAGTCCTTTCTTGCGAATCGGGTTGTAAAGCCATACTCTTTCCCCTGGAGAGAACGGGCGTGTTGTGACATGCGCGTCGTACCGGGCTTTCATGCGATCCAAGCCGCTCGCCAAACGCTGTCGAGCAAATTCGTGCACCCGCTCGAGGTTTGTTCTCAGTTCACCTACGTAGGACGCAGGGTTTGTGGTCGGCTCTGATGCTCGTGGAAGGGCTAAATCACAGGGCATGCGAAGGTCATGACCGAAGAGCATTGTGGCAGGCGTATAGCCAGTGACCTCATGAGCAGACGTGCGATATGCATACAAAAACAAAGGCACGATGCTATCCCAGTCATCTTGCTGATCACTGACGAACATGGACAGATGTTGTAGGATCGTTCGATTCATCCTCTCGACTAAACCGTTTGACTGCGGGTGGAGAGGCGTCGTTCTTGTTTTTTTGATGTTGAACAATTCGCAGACTTCTTGGAACACCCGAGATTCGAAGCTCCTGCCTTGGTCCGAGTGGATGCTCAGGGGAACTCCATACCGTGTAATCCAGTTCCTCACCAGAGCGTCGGCGATCTCGGAGGCGGTCTGGCTCGGTATAGGAATGACTTCCGGCCACTTCGTGAAATAGTCAACAATGACCAGCAGGAACCTGTTGCCAAGCTTAGATCGAGGAAACGGTCCAAGCACATCAATGCCGACGCGTTCAAAAGGTGCTCCCGTGACATGTTCTTGAAGCGGTGCACGCTGTTTTACGTGAGGACCTTTCCGTGAGACGCACATGTCACATAGACGGCACCATTGCTTTACGTCATTATGGCACTGCAGCCAGTAGAAGCGCTGCCGAATCTTTTTCAGGGTGCGGTTCACGCCGAAATTTCCTCCTTCAGGGCTTGTGTGCAGCTGATGAAACGCTTGAGAGCAGAGTCTTCGTGGCAGAACCAGTTGCCATACAACAGAGTTGCCCGCAGCGGACTCCCAGCGTCGGTAAAGAACACCGTCGCGCAGCAGCAAAGAGTCCCATTGCGCCAAGTAACTCTTGAGGGCCGGAGACAGCCGAGATACTTCCTTAGGAGGGGGCCTGTTATTCTGTCTCTTCCATCTTACTAATGGGCCGATGTCCGGGTCGTCAAGTTGAGCGTTTCGGAGCTCTTCTGGCGTCCACGCTTCGTAGTCGCAGGGCAGGTTGGTTAGTGCGTTAAGCGTGTCGAAGCTGCGCTTTTCAATGCTCAAGCACTGCTTGCACTTTTCACTACATGGCCTACGAGAGAGACCATCGGCATTGGTGTGCTTTGAGCCGGAACGATGTTGTATGTCGAAGTCGTATTCATGCAGGCGTTCCAGCCAGCGGGCGACCTGACCATCAGGTGTCTTGAAGCTCAGCATCCATGTCAGCGATGCGTGGTCGGTTCGAATAACAAACTTCCGGCCCAGTAGATAGTGGTGAAAATGGGTGATGGCTTTGATGATGGCCAGCAACTCCCGTCGGGTGGTGCAATAATTGCGTTCGGGCTTCGTGAAGACCTTGCTATAGTAAGCAATGACGCGTTCTTGTCCGTCCTGCTCTTGTGATAAAACTGCGCCAATTGCCGAGGCGCTGGCGTCGGTGTCAAGAATGAAGCGTCCAGTCTCCTTCGGATACGCAAGTGTTGGCGGAGACGTGAGGGCTGTTTTGAGCGTCTCAAACGCGCGCTGGCATTCCGAGGACCAGACGAACTTCGCTTTTTTCTCAGTCAGAGCATACAAAGGCTTGGCGATGTGAGCGAAATCGGAGACGAATCTTCGATAGTACGATGCCAGTCCAATGAAGCTCTGCATGTCCGTGGTGGATCTCGGAGTTGGCCAATCAACGAGAGCAGAGAGTTTCCGAGGGTCTGTGGAAACGCCATCCACCGAAATGATGTGGCCGAGGTAGTCCACTTGCCTTGTAAACAGCGAACATTTCTTCGGTGTGAGCTTCAGGTTCGCATTTTGCAGGCGTGAAAAAACCAAGTTTAGATTCGCCAGATGGTCTGTGACTGTCTTGCCGAAGGCGATGATGTCGTCAAGGTATACAAGGCAAATAGTGCCTATGAGCTCGTTCAAGACAGATTCCATTAACCTCTGAAATGTAGCTGGAGCATTGCAGAGTCCAAATGGCATTACTCTGAACTGATACGAGCCGATACCTGTGGTGAAGGCGGTCTTCTCGCGGTCTTCTGGTTGCACCGGGACCTGCCAATATCCGCTTTAGAGGTCGAGTGTCGAAAACCATGTGCACCCAGCGAGGGCATCCAAGATGTCATTAGTCCGAGGAAGTGGAAAAGAGTCTTTCTTAGTGACGTCGTTGAGTTTTCGATAGTCTATGCAAAATCGAGTTGTACCGTCCTTCTTTGTCACTAGCGTAACTGGTGATGACCAGGGGGAACATGCTGGTTCAATCACGCCCTGTTGAAGCATTGTCTTCACCAAGTCGTCGACGTGAGACCTCTGTGTGAGAGGAATGCGCCGAGGGGGTTGTCAAATGGGAGAAGCCTGTCCTGTCACAATCCGGTGTGTCGCCACCGATGTCAGCCCTATATCTGCGTCTCCCGTGCTGAAAAGGCTTGTGAATTTTTCAAGCAGCTGGCAAAACCTCTCAGCATCGAGTTTATCGAGACAAGCAGACGCGCCTTCGTATAATGGTAATACGTGCGCAGCTAGCTTGATAGAGGATGTACGAGGACACATATACGGGAGGGTGTCGTTTATTGGCAACCCAGTGTCGTAGAGGACCGTCACCTTGGCGGCGCCTAGGGGAAACGAGTCAGTTCCGAGATGCAGCAATCCAGCGTTGAAATCGAGCACGCACTTGTGTGCTTTGAGGAAATCGACGCCCAGGATGCACTGCTCCTCGATAGCGGCAACGACAACAGGCAGCGAAGCGTGAAGGCTACCCACGGTGAAGGGTAGAGTTGTGGAGCCTAGTACGGCTACCATGTCTCCCGTTGCGGTTTGCAGAGCATAGCTGTCAGAGCTTTGTGGAACAGCACGATTCGCTTTCATCAAAACTTCCGGTCTAATTACCAAGGTTGTAGCTCCGGTGTCAACAAGTGCGCGTACCGAAACTCCGTCGACGACGCCCTGAAGGTAGATAGATGTAAGTGGTGCTGTCAGGACACGCGTTGATGTGATTATCCGCGGCGATGTTGCTGTTGGGTTCCGGCTGCTGGGGTGATACGTGGGACATTGTGCCCGCGTGTGGCCCTGCTCATGGCAGTTCCAGCAAACTGGGGCTGGAGGCGCATGTGTTGCTGTTGTCGGGGCTTGCGGCTGCGTAGGAGGCCTCAGAACCGTAGATCGTGATGCTTGTCGAGCAGCTTCTATCTCCAGCGCGCCCGTGTGTGCTGCTCGGAGAGTCTTGGGGCGTGCTAGGCGAACCGCATCCTGCACCTCAACGGAGGAGATGGCGTCAATGAACGCCATGGTTGCCACAGCGTCAATTGTGTCTTGTGGGCAACCAGGAAATGCAAGATGGGCGAGGCGCTCGATGTCGTCGGCGACTTGAGAAACTGTCTCGGTTGCAGACTGACGACGGTTGCGAAGTTGGGCGTGATGAAGAAAGCGGAGTGGTCCTTCCCCGTAGCGCTCGTTCAGTGCCGCGACCAAGGCTTCGTAGGAATCAGTGTTGCGGAATGGGCACCCACATTCCATTCCAATTCCATTCCGGGGAATTAGAGTTTTCAATAATTCCATTCCTTTCAACTCCTAGGAATGGGGACACTGGGCCCATTCCCACTCCTGGAATGGCTGAGTCGCTCCATTCCATTCCTCCAATTCCTAAACGCTAAAAGTGTAATTTGACAGCTCGATTACGTTGCAGGGTTGGGCAGAAATATTCAGAAATGTATTTGGAAATACAAATACTGGGATAGATGAAAATAGTTGTCTAAGATACTGATACTCAAGTCTCAAATATATCTATACAAATGTATCGTGATACGTATCGAAAATACATTTTAAAATGAGGCAAAAAGTCATTGGAAATACAAAAGAATACATTTTAGGGAGGCCAGAAATATAAATACTCATAATACAATACATTTTTCAAATTTCTTTGAGACGCCAACTGAGATGAGGAAGTTTGAAGGGGAAGTTTTTTGTTTGTTTGTTTTTTGTCCCGAAATTACTTTTCCGCAGGCTTGGCACTTCGCATTGAAGGTAGTGGTTCCGGACGAAGAGTCCTAAATGGGTTTAAAAAACGTTCCATCAAGGATTGACCGCGGTCCCTTCCCTGGCATCCTGTCTGACTGACCAAATATGCGAAAAGACTTCGACCTCTAAAATACATTCCATCAAAACATCACCACTTCCCTGTCCAA